AGCCTATTTAAAAGCAAATATAATAGTACTATTCCTGGTCATAAAACCAGATAAACCCCCTGTCCCCATTCAAAAGGCATCAATATCTAGTTTCCCCACATCTGTTAAATGAGTGCTTTTCTATTAAAAATCATAATATGGAAAAAAGTCAATTTTTTCCCTTATGCACTGCTGAGAACAAGCATAATCCTCTAAATGTTTTTTCTTTTAAATTTCCTTACAGTGTTATTTCTTTTTTGGGGGGGGAAGGGAGGGGGGAGGAAGGGAGGGAGGAAGGCAGAAAAGGAGGAAAGGAGGAAGGGAGGGAGAAAGGAAGGGATGAAGGAAGGAAGGAAGGGAGGAAGGGAGGGAGGGAGGGAAGGGAAGGAAGGAAATCAAACAATGAGAGAGACATTGCTGACCTGGATCTAGAGGTTTACAAGTTGATTTCTTTTTTTTTTTTCTTTTTTTGAGAGAAGGAAAGAAAAAAATGAGTAAAGGAGAGGAAGAAAGAGGAAGAGAAAGAGGGAGAGTGAATATTGCTTTATTCTGAAAAAAATGGGTATTAATAATGGCCAATCAATGTTTCATTTAAACCTATGAGTAGTTATGATGTGGCATTGACAAGAATGTATATTTTGTGTATTTGAAGTGGAGAGCTCTATAAATATTTATTAAGTTTACTTGTTCCAGATCTGACTTCGAGTCCTTGATATCCTTATTAATTTTCTGTCTCATTGAATCTAAGTCTCTGTGTAGCTGGGTGTTAGGATCGTTAGCTCTTGTTGTTGCATTGATCCTTTTACCGCTATATCTTTGTTGCTTTGAAATCTATTTTATCAGATGCAAGAATTGCAACTCCTGCTTTTTATTTATTTATTTATTTATTTTTGCTCTCCATTTGGCTGGTAAATCTTTCTCCATCCCTTTGTTTTGAGTCTTTGTGTATCCTTGCATGTGAAATGGGTCTGGATGTAACACGCCGTTGGGTTTTGGCTGTGTCTTTTGATTGGGGGATTTAGTCAATTTAAATTTAGGGTTACTGCCATTTGATGTTAACTGGCTGTTTTATCCATTCGTTGATGTAAATTCTTTATGTTAGTGCTCTTTACTTTTTGGTATATTTTTAGAAGGGCTGATACTGGTTGTTTCTTTCGGTGTGTAATGCTTCTTTCAGAAGCTCTTGTAAAGCAGGCCTGGTGGTAATAAAATCTCTGAGTACTTGCTTATCCATAAAAGATTTCATTTTTCCTTCAGCTGTGAAGTTTAGTTTGGCTGGATATGAAATTCTGGGCTGAAGGTTCTCTTCTTTGAGGATGTTGAATATTGGCCCCCACTCTCTTCTGGCTTGTAGAGTTTCTGCTGAGGGATCTGCTGTAAGTCTGATAGGCTTGCCTTTGTGGGTAACCTGACCTTTCTCTCTGGCTGCCCTTAGTATTTTCTCCTTCATTTCAACCCTGGTGAATCTAACGATTATGTGCCTTGGGGTTGCTCTTCTTGAGGAATATCTTTGTGGTGTTCTCTGTATTACCTGCGGTTGAATATTGACCTGCTTTGCTAGTTTAGGAACATTTTCCTGAATAATATCCTGAAGGGTATTTTCCAGCTTGGATTCATTCTCTCCGTCACATTCAGGTACACCTATCAAACGTAAATTTGGTCTTTTCACATAGTCCCACATTTCTTGGAGACTTTGCTCATTCCTTTTTATCCTTTTTTCTCTAATCTTGTCTTCTCGTTTTATTTCATTAAGTTGGACTTTGACCTCTGATATCCTTTCTTCTGCTTGAACAATTCGAGTGTTTAAACCTGTGCGTACTTCTCAGAGTTCCTGTATTGTATTCTTCAGTTCCATTAATTCACTTATATTCCTCTCTAAGTTGTCTATTCTCATTAGGATTTCGTCAAACCTTTTTTCAAAGTTCTTAGTTTCTTTAAATTGGGCTACAACATGTTCTTTTAACTCACAGAAGTTTCTTATTATCCATACCCTGAAGCCTGATTCTGTTATTGGAATGTGCTCGTTCTCCATCAAGCCTTGTTCCATTGTTGATGTGGAACTGTGATCATCTTTAGAGGGAGAAGCGTTCTGATTTTGAGTATTCTCAGCCTTTTTACACTGGTTTCGTCCCATCATTGTAAATTTATCCTCCTGTTGTCTTTGAAATTACCAACTTTCAGATTAGGTCTCTTGAGTGGACGTCCAAGTTGTTAGTTCCCAGGGCCAAAGCAGCAGCATTAAGACTGATGGTGCTTTTCTGCCCAGGATTCTCCTGTCTGGCTTCCTTCTTGTGTCCGTAATAGGTGACTCTGCCTTCCCGGAGCTCCAAACCTCGGTCAGAAGGGGAACCAGTCCTGTTTACTCTGCGCTGAGAGCTGCTGTGCCGAGGTGCTGGTGAAACCACTGTGCTGGCCTCAGGAGTCGTGCTGGGAACCCGTGTGGCTCCTCCAATCCTCGGTCAGAAGGGGAGCCAGACCCGTTTACTCTGCTCCGAGAGCTGCCACGCCGAGGTGGCGGCAAAACCGCTACACCAGCCACAAGAGTCATGCTGGCAACCCGTGTGGCTCCTCCACTGGGAATCTTCTGCTCCGTGAGTGACCAGAATTTGTCTGAAAGTGTGGCGTCCTCTAGTTCTCTGCGCTTTCACTGAGAGCTGCAATCCCGAGATGTTAGCGATCAGCCATCTTCACAGTGTTATTTCTTCTAGACAACTGAGTGGGTGGAGAAAGTAAAGTGATAAGAAAAACATTTTCATCTTCTACATCTTCCTCCAGCCCCTAAAATTCTCACCTGACTCTTTGTGACATGTGGAGAGGTATTGGCATCTCTTCAAATATAGCTCCCTTCATGTTAGATGCTCTCAGGTTGGCTTCTTGAAGCCAACAGATCACAATTCTCTCAGTCAGTTCCTGCCAGACTTGCTCCGCTGAGGTTACAGATCTCCAGCTTTCCATTTTTTAAGGCAGCCACTCTCAGGTTAATTCTTGTCATCTGACTTCCTTCCACATCCACACCCTTCAGATTAGCACCTTCTAAATTCACTTTAAGACCAGAAGGATCCTCAAAATTACACAGTTTTGAGGATGCTCCTTCTGTATCAGAACAGAGCATCTTGACTCCCTGGAGATTTGCACAGTCAAGCACTGATCCAGAGAGATCAGCTCGTTCAAGATCTGCATAGCGAAGTGCATGTGCCAGACTATAGCAGTGTAAATTGGCCATTTTGAAATTAATGTATGGAAGGTACAAATGAGAAAGGTCAGCACCACTGAAGCTCGAACCCTGGCATCGCAGTTCTGTCTTGGTTGGAGTTGCTAGCAAACATTGGAGAAATTCCTTTCAGGATATTGGTGAATGATCCTTCAGTGGTTGAGAATTCTTTATTGCCACTTCCAGCTTTTCAATCTACCAAAAAATCTTGCTTCTTCTAAGACACCCAATAAATCAATATCATCATTTACAATGAGATGTCCATGAGGCAAGTAGTTTAAAATGGGTTCAAAGTAAAACTTCAGTCAATTAAGAAAGCTCCTCTAAGATCTTGCTGATTTCCCCAGACACCTTTGTCCTTAAACATGTGGGCCAGCATACTGTCAGGTTCTTTATTCAATAAAGTGCTCTGTGTAGTTGTAGAGTACCACCCAATCAGTCCACCTTTCCTATTATACACACCGGTGGCTTTTATGCTGAGTTTACTGCTGGCCACAGAAAGCAAATCCAATAAAATTCCACATACAGCAACCACCTGTCTGATCTTGGGGCTGCCGTTTGGGAACAGGGTCACCTGCCTCATCACGCTGCCCACCAACCCGCTGGGTCCTGAGTGAGCTGCTACCTTCCCACCTGGTCCTCCTCCCGCCTTTTTCTCCTTCCACCCTTCCCCTTCCTCCTCCCACTCAGAGTCACCTCCCTTCGCCACCTTCTTGCTTCTGGGGAAACACCATACACACGCACTCTGTCCCATACCCGAGGCTCAGCTGGTCCTACTCCCCACCCCACCCCTAGGCTCCTCCCAGTCTGTCTTTTTTTAATGGGGCTTTATTAACTTTCGGAATCAGTGTTAGGCTGCCTTGATAAAAATAAGCGGTACTTTCCTTTACTGTATTTTAAAAACCAAGTATGTGTGTATGTGTAGTACAATATCAGTCTTTACAATGGTAAAGCCATTATGTAGAAACACCAGGTAATTACCATTATACCCAAGAAAAGAAAGCCACATACAGTTCTCACAGATTCAACTTTTTGAAAACCAAATAAATTAAAATATACCTTTTGAAATCTAGCCTGAATGTGACTTTTATGAAAATAGCACAAAAATTGTAAGTGTACTACTCTTCAACACATTAAAAATTAATAATGATGTATTTCAGTTATTTTTCCCATCTTAGGCAATTTAGCAATACACTGAGGGCTGCCCTGTAAGAGTGAGACCATGGAAAGCTTAGATTTATTATCTATATGCTCAAAGAGAAAATTAAACAAATTATTTGATATTTCATGTTTTACATGCTCTGAACTCAAATATAATGCTTGAAAAACCCTTTCCTGATTCTCAAAAAATGAGTAACACTGAAAAGGTTGACAGCTTCCAGCTGCCACTGCCGTCCAAGCCACTCTGAGCAGCTTTCCACAGATGCTGGATGAGGCTCTTAATATAAATATTACACATCCACCTCTGCAAGGGATCAACAGGGTTCATTCATTCCTCTAATGCATTTTTCATCAAGACAGCCCCAGAATATACACTGCCCTGCCTGGATGTCAGAAGGAGTTCACACATGCATGGTGACAAATGAACCTCTGGAGGGACCAGAGAAACCACAGCACTCCCAGTTACCTTGTATTTGTCATCAATCTCCCCACTAGATGTGAACTCCCTGTGGGCAGCTACATCGTCTGCCTAAAATAGTTCCGGCACAGGGTAAGTACTCAAGAAATGTAAGGGAAGGAATGGGTGGGTCATGGGTCACCTAAGTGCTTCCATGCGGCCTGCTGGTCCCACCTGCCCGGTCCCTCCTACCTGTGCTGCTCCTCAGGCGACTCTCAGCAAGCTCTGAGATGGCTCCGGCAGTGGCAGTCTTCTTCAGGCAAACCACTCCCGATGTGGTGGTGCTTCCTGGCTTGTTGAGCGTGTCCTCACTGCTGGCCCTCTTGAGCTGCGAGAGTTGGAGGGAAAGAGAGAGGATGAGGAGGTGGTTTTCAGGAAGGAGCCTATAAGCCAGTAAAGCATGGGAGCTGGGCTATGTGCCCACCAGTCAAGATACGGTAACAGCGCTTTGAGTAGCATGACAGGGTGAAGTAAAAAAATACAAAGTTACACAAACCTGTTTCTGTCATTACAGGTTAGAGTATGATCTCCCATGATTGTTTCAAAGAACAGTGTAAGATGACGTGAAGAATATCCATCAGGTCAAGTAATGAGCCTTAAAAAATCTGGCTGGGCATGGTGGCTCATGACTGTACTCCCAGAATTTTGGGAAGCTGAGGTAGGAGAATTGCTGGAGCTGAAAAATTCAAGACTAGCCTGGGCAACACAGTGAGAGCCTGTCTTACTATTTTTTTTTTTAATTAGCTGGGCATGGTGGCACCCAGGAGGCTGAGGCAAGAGGACTGCTTGAGCCCAGGAGTCCAAGATTGCAGTAAACTATGATTGTGCCACTGCACTCCAGCCTGGGTGACAGGGTGACACCTTGTCTCTAAACAAAATTTTTAAATAAAAAATAAATCTGCTTTCCTATTGGGGAAAAAAAAGAATGGGAACCAATGAAAAAAGAACCATGAGATGCACAAAAGGCAGAGTAGGTCAACGCACAAGAAATTCCAGAACAACAAAAATGACACAAGCCAGGAGGAAGTGGAGGGAGAGAAACAATCTGAATATGTGCCCTAGCCTCACCACCAAGCATTCTGTAGATGATCTCACAAGGAAAATTGTATTCAAAGATGAGAAAGGAAGAGGCTGGAGGCTGGAAGACAGAAGAGAGCAATGCCTTCTGTTCTGGCTTTACTTTCTTCACTGCCACTGGACAAACATACGCTAAATGGCACTGGAGTCTAAGAAAGGAGACTCCTTAGTGATCCACACTTCAGGCCCAGATAGATTACATTCGAGGTTAATTAGGAAAACCACAACTAAATTGTCTCAGCCACTGTTGAGTCTTTGTGAAAGAAGGCTCTGGAGAGGAATGGCGCCAGAAGACTGGAGAAGGTAGCTGCCCAGAGTGATCTAATATAGCTGACATCTGGAGCGCACAGCATGGAAAAGCCCTCAAATCAATGCAGGCAAGCAGTGGGCGATCCCCGCCCATCACACAGGCAGGAGGGAAGGAAGGGGGCGGGGGAGGGGAGGGAAGTGGGGGTAGGGGAAGTCCTGTTCCATCCTCTACTGGTCATTTACTGAGAGTTAGAAGTTTAAATATTTGCACAATTTTTTAAAGTTTCCACCTTTGCATCATTTAAATTTCAGGGTATAAATATCCTCACCCCATCATAGCTCAAAAGTGAAAAAACCCCACCATAGCTTAAAAGTGAAAAAAACACCAATACTGAGTGTTGGTGAGGCTGTGGAGCAGCTAGAATGCTCATGCCCTGGGGGTGGAAGTGTAAACTGGCACAACTGCTTTGGAAACTGGCAGTAGCTAATAATGCTAACACTGGAAGACAGAAGAAAGCAACACCTTCTGTTCTAGCTTCACTTTCGTCCCTGTCATGAAAGGGGTAGGACAAACATTTGCTGAAGGGCACTAAGTCAAAGTAGGAGACTCCTAAGTGAGCACAGCAGTCCCCTATGATTCAGCAATCCCATTCCTAGATCCACATCCAAGAGGAGTGAGTACATAGGTCCCTCAAAAGAATATTCATAGCACCATTTTATAGCAGCCCAAAACTAGGACAATCCAAATGACCTTCAAGTGAAAGGGTAAATGCAATGGGAACTACACAGCGAATAGGAAACAAGCAAATTACTGATACACTAATAAATGGATGTCTATCCCAGGTATTACGCTAAGTGAAAGAAGCAGACACAAAAGAGTATAAAAGAGTATATACTGCCTGATTCCACTTGTATTAAGTTTAATAACTGCACAATCAAATGATGGTATATAAGTCAGAATAGTGGTTACCTCTCAGGGAGTTACAGCTCAAAAGAAATGTTCTGGGGTGCTGGAACATTCGACATCCTGGCAGGGTGGTGATTACACAAGTATAAACAAATGTAAACATGCAGTGACCATTATAGCTAAGATTAAGATTAGTGTACTTGGGAGGACTCAAGATGGCACTGTAAGAACAACCCAGGATTGGAGCTCTCATTGAATCCGCAGAGAGGTGAGTCGGAGCTGCATTTCCAGACTGATCTTTGTTGCCCACAGAACGGGGAAACTCCCAAGTATAAAGGAGACGTGGGACACCAGGCAGTACTTCTGCCTGGTGAAGCCGGCAGCCGGGGTGGCGGCGGCCAACCCTAACCAGCGCTCCCCACAGGGCGCGCTTGTCCGGGTGCCCTGTTGAACCGGCAACCTGAGACTTGAGAGGGCTGGACTTGAGACTGAACGAGACTTGGACAGTAGGCCAGCCCAGGGGATTGCAGGGACAGAGCGTTTGGGACAGAGCGTTTGGGATTGCAGGGACAGAGCGTTCATCCCAGTGGGACGAATAAAACCGCGATTTCAAAAGCTCCCCGTGCAGATGGTCCGAGATGCTCTGTGGGGAAGGGGCGTCCACCATTACCGAGGCAACCCGCCCCAACTGAGATACACACCCACTGCTGACGCAGCCTGCCGTTGCCAAGCCAACCCGCTAAAACAAACAGACTCCGCCTCAGGGCATGGCGGAGACCACAGCCTGCAGCAACAGGGCGAACCACACAACAGCAGGGCGGAGCCTCAGCAGGCAAACAGTGGCTACTCTGCATTCTAGCTGGGCAGGACACCTCATCGGACATCCAAAAATAAAGCCCGAATCCCCCAACACAGAGCATTTGAGAAAAAGAGGGTTTTTTAAATGAGCTCTGTTGCAGCAGAATCAAACATAGCAGCCTAACAGACCTGAATGAACAACAGAGCTCACAGTTCAGCAATTGAGCTCCTATAAAGTACAGACTGTCTCCTCAAGCAGCTCCCTGACCCCTCTATATCCAAAAGACTGACATTAGGCAGGCATCATCCTGGGACAAAGATAGCAGAAAAAGAAAATGGTAGCATCCCTCACTGTGCCACAGCTGCTAGAGGTGCACCCCAGACAAGCAGGGCCTGGAGTGGACCTCAGCAGTCATACAGTGAAGGGGCTAGACTGGTAAAAGGAAAACCAAGTAACAGAAATACTTCATCATCAACAATCTGGCTGTCCACTCAGAGACCCAATCGAACAGTCAGCAACTACACAGACGACAAGCGGATAAATCCACAAAGATGGGAAGAAACCAGCGAAAAAAGGAGGAAAACACCCGAAACCAGAACACCTCACCTCCTAGAAAGGAAAAAAAACTCCTCACCAGCAAGGGAACAAAGCTGGACGGAGAATGACTGTGACGAAATGACGGAATTAGACTTCAGAAGGTGGATAATGAGAAACTTTTGTGAGCTAAAAGAACATGTATTAAATCAATGCAAAGAAACTAAGGAACTTGAAAAAAGATATGAGCAAATGATAACAAGAATGGATAACTTAGAGAGGAATATGAATGAATTAAAGGAGATGAAAAACACAATACGAGAACTTCGCGAAGCATGCACAAGTTTCAATAGCCGAATTGACCAAGGAGAAGAAAGAATATCTGAAGTCGAAGACCAACTCAATGAAATAAAACGAGAAACCAAGATCAGAGAAAAAGCGCAAAAAGGAATGAACAAAGTCTCCAAGAAATGTGGGACTATGTGAAAAGACCTAACCTACGTTTGATAGGTGTACCAAAAGGGGACAAAGAGAATGAATCCAAGCTGGAAAATACTCTTCAGGACATCATCCAGGAAAATTTCCCCCACCTAGCAAGACAGGCCAACACTCAAATGCAGGAAATACAGAGAACACCACAAAGATATTCTGCAAGAAGAGCAACCCCAAGACACATAATCATCAGATTCAACAAGGTTGAAATAAAGGAGAAAATACTAAGGGCAGCCAGAGAGAAAGGTCGGGTCACCCACAAAGGGAAGCCCATCGGACTCACAGCAGATCTCTCGGCAGAAACACTACAAGCCAGAAGAGAGTGGGGGCCAATATTCAACATTCTTAAAGAAAAGAACTTTCAACCCAGAATTTCATATCCAGCCAAACTGAGCTTCAGAAGTGAAGGAAAAATAAAATCCTTTGCGAACAAGCAAGTACTCAGAGATTTTGTCACCACCAGGCCTGCTTTACAAGAGCTCCTAAAAGAGGCACTACACATAGAAAGGAACAACCAGTACCAGCCATTCCAAAATCACACTAAATGCTAAAGAGCATCAACATAATGAAGAATCTACAACAACTAACAGGCAAAACAGCCACTTAGCATCAAAATGGCAGTATCAAATTCACACATAACAATATTAACCCTAAATGTAAATGGACTAAATGCACCAATCAAAAGACACACACTGGCAAATTGGATAAAAATCCAAAGCCCATCAGTATGCTGTATCCAGGAAACCCATCTCACAGGCAAGGATACACAAAGGCTCAAAATAAAGGGATGGAGGAAGATTTACCAAGCAAATGGACAGCAAAAAAATGCAGAAGTTGCAATTCTCATCTCTGATAAAATAGACTTTAAAGCAACAAAGATCAAAAGAGACAAAGAAGGCCATTACATAATGGTAAAAGGATCGATACAACAAGAAGAGCTAACGATCCTAAACATATATGGACCCAATGCAGGAGCACCCAGATACATAAGGCAAGTTCTTAATGACTTACAAAGAGACTTAGACTCCCACACAATAATAGTGGGAGACTTTAACACTCCACTGTCAATATTAGACAGATCAACCAGACAGAAAATCAACGAGGATATCCAGGGCTTGAACTCAGACCTGGAGCAAGCTCCACCCCAAATCCACAGAATACACATTCTTCTCAGCACAACATCACACCTACTCTAAAATTGACCACATAATTGGAAGTAAAGCACTGCTCAACAAATGCAAAACAACTAAAATCATAACAAACAGCCTCT